AAGGCCACAGGCCAAGAAAATTAATTAAATTTAATTAACGAGAAGAATATTTCCGTTTCTTCACTTCCGTTAATTTCCATGTTCCGTTGTTAATTCTTAAACAGCAACGGTATTCTCGTTCCGAACATCCTGTACATTGGAAGATATTTCTGTCGAGCATATTGATACATTTCGTGTATGCGAATTACCATACGCCTGTCCTTTTATACAACATCCGACATTTATATACTTTCACACCTCAAACACACTTATGCATCGAACAGATGCAAAGCGTAATTTCAAAACGTCTCAAAATTGTTAAATGCTGAAAAATATAAATTAATTATTAGACTTGATTAAACTTTCAACGTTCCTCAACAAAAATATTGATTATGTATACGTATGTATATAATACACAGCGTGAACAAGATGTTAAAACGTTAAATATTTCTGATAATATATACGAATTATACACAAAGATGTTTTGCTTTACGCTTTGTTAATTTAAACGCATTCTTTTCTCCTTTCTTCGTAACATACTTTTTCTATAAACAAATTTGAATACAATTTTCTATATCATTTTTATTCGCTAATCGGTGCTCTAAATTAAAGCTATATGTTATGATATAGCAGATATAACTTATTCCATAATAGCTTGTACCGATAAACTCACCGAAGTTTCACGTAACTCGATGGAGGTTGCACTTCGGTATATACTGATTAGTATCCAAGTGCCAACCTTTTGTCAGCGCACAAGGATAATGCGTAACGGCCTTACAACCTCGTTTAACGCAACCGATATTCGCGCCCGTTAAACCACAGGAGTCACATATCGACTTCGCTGCATCCCATACAGCTTCTTGTAAACCTGTTACTCTACCACCTGTAAGAAATACAATTTTTTCTGCTTCACAAACTCTCGTAACAATTTGAAATTGTTTTAAACTAAAAAAATAACAAATATTTTGGGATTTTAAAATGTAATTAATGATTTTTTTATAAATCTGATATGTACAAATTCTTTAATCGTTGAGGAAACATAATACAAACAAATGTAAACTATTAGTGAAATTGATTTTAAAAATTTTATAGCTACAACTAATTGTAAAATAATTGTTATGTGTACCTGCCATGTATACTCCAGCTGCCCAAACAGCGCATTGCTCGTGAAGCCAAACTTCCCAACGTTGTTCTTCTCCGGGAAGCGCGGTCATTCCAGTGAACATGGAGTTAATATTACTTTCCATCGAATTCCTTTTCTTTTTACTCATTTTAGCGGAGAATTGATCGGCTAATCCGGCATACCTCAAACTTCTCTTATTTTTACCACCCTTTTTCTGTTCCGTGGTAATTTCTTGTTCATCGGCTGAAAGAATTCCATCCTCTAAACGTTCTTTTCCGATCAAATATGGTCCAAATAAATCGCTGAGAACACCAGCCGGGACCTAGAAATTCAAATAAACTAGATTATTCGCTGATATAAGTACATAAGTAAAACAACAGATGAACAATCGTGGTATTTTGTTCATTATAATTTAAGTACCCTATCATTATACGTACAGTGTATGTTCCAGGTGGTATGTGCGGGCCAGCTAAATTAGGGTGTGGCCGAGACGGATCTCCGGGTATAACAGAATGAGGTCCTTGCTTACAAAACACGCAGACCCATGTGGAATCTGTCGTGTGCGCATCATAACGTGACGATAATGTTGAACTAAAGAGACCCGCTCTACTGACTTTGCCTGCATGTCAAATGCACGATTTAAAGATTATTAATAGTATACTATATACATACAGTGAGTCGCTGACTAGAGTCAAGGAAAATAAATAAGATAGAAAAAGTAATTATCGAGTGAATTGTCTGAATCGCTCGAACCTAAGCCGATTTGGGCATAAACTCACACGCTGTTTGTATGTATGGGTGCGAAATGTAGTGTGCGAGGAATTTATCTTGTCCCTGTGTCATTGTCAGCGACACACGATACGTTTAAATATACATAATACAATTTAAAGATTTACATTATATATTACACATACCCCTGTAATCTAAATCGTTTTGATGACTGAGTCTCTTACTTCTCCCTGCGGTACCATTACCAATGGTCTTTCGTTTTTCCTTACTTTTCTCTTCTTCCTCTTCCCGAGGTGCGTTAACAACCTGAATGCTTAACGGACTGTCCCTCGGACCTTCAACATGAACTACCGGTCCACGAGATCTAATGGAGCTTGCATTCGATCCAGAGTCGTATGCCATTTCTTTTATACCGTCTATCTTCGTATTCTTTTTCGCCTTCTTTGAAGCTTCTTGTTTCTTCGAGTTCTTCGATACTTTTCTCTTTTTGATTTCCTTCTGAGGTATATCACTACCAACTGTTCCAAAAATATTTTCGGAAGATCTTGAAATCTTTCGTTTACCACTTTGAACTTTTGTTTTCTTTCCCTTCTTCCCAGTCACCTTCGTATCAACCGTAGATGTAACGTCCGTTGGATTTACACTTGGCGTTTCACTCGTGTTCAGCACACTATCGTTTATGTTCTCGGTCTTCGTCGTACTACCTTCTTGAAGTTCAGACTGCGTAAGTTCTGATTTTGATTCTTCCTTCTTAACATCCGTCTCTGCCTCGACGATACCGGCAAACATCTTTTCGAGTTCAGATTCGACTTCGTTAAATGGATTTGTATTATTCATATTATTCGTATTATTTACAGATTTCGGACTTGTTACTTTTGAAAATTCAGTCGCGTCGTCGCTTGATTTTCTCCTGACCCTTTGATTTGCCGGAGCCAAAGTAGATGGCGTACTTTCACTACTTCTCCGCCTTCTGATCGGTTGATTCTCCTCGCACCTTTCTTCTGCATTTTCCTCAGCTTTTTCAGGTATTCTCTGTTCCGTCGTACCTGTATTGTCTTCCAATTTCACGACAGACGTTGCACTTGTCGCTTCTTCCGGTACCGATTCACTCGTTCTGGGTTCTGTTGGTTCTGTAGGCTCTAACTCCATGTCTTCAACCTCCGTCTTCGAATCTTTACTAACTCGTAGAGGTTTTTCTAGTTTTCTTTTCCTGCGCTGCTTGGTATTATCATTAGAATCATCGTTACTGAATGCTGGCGACACTACCTCGTCTTCTCTGTTCGGAGACTTCGATTTTTGTCGATCGGGAGACATACTCTTAACACTCGATGTGTCTTTTTCTTCTACCGGCATCACAATAACAGATCCAATATTTTCTGCACTACCAAGCTTTTTGTTTCCACCTTCCAATTTCTCTAAGAGAGAATCCACACCCTTTTTGCCTCGTTTCGGTAAGTTCTTAGGTGATCTTACATTCGTTTCTTCGATCTTACGATCTCGTTCCAAAGACGATTCTCTTCTTGGACTGTCCGTTACGTCCTTATCAGTCTTCGAGGTAAGATTCACGATAACAGGCAAAACATTCCTTGGCACTTGTGCAATAACGCTTAACGTATCCTTATTTTTCGCGACTTCGGGTTCTTTCTTATCCGGTATTACCCTCTCGATCGTTACACTCGGTGGTAAGTTTATAACTTTTTGCGCAAAGTTATCTACGTTTATTTCCTTGATCTTATCATGAATATTTGCCACTCCTTTCAAATTGCTTTCAAAGTTTTTTACCGTTATCTTAGGTGTTGTTACCTCTTTAGTCGAGAGCGAAACTGGTTCACCAACGGAATTAGGCGTTGGTACCGACGAACTGATTCCGCTGTCCGACGAGGTTTCTCCGTTTAAAGGTATCGGGGGAGAAATAATATTTCCATTTCTGCTACCTTTATCTACGTTTCTCGCCGTTAAGCTGATCGGGATGTCTTGAGGTATCCGAGAGTAATTCTCGGGGATAATTTCAGACGTCGAAGATAAATCTAATGTGTTTTGCGAGCCAGGTGAGTTTCGATACTGACTTTGGTTCTGTCTGTTGTCTACCAGCATTTGTAAACTGAACAATGGATTTCCCGGTGCGTTAGACGGAGTAACACTTTTCGATGGAACAGTCGGCGTGTGCCACGTCGGGGGTGCTTGAGTATGCGCAAGTTGTGGTGTGAGCTGCGACGTTAGGTGAGATGCTCTTGCCATGGATGGATGCGTATAAAATCCAGCAGAACTCAACGCCGCACCCGATAAAGCCGTTGGATGAATATTCAAGCCTGAAACTATTGAAATTACTTTTATCACTTAAAGAAAAACGCGATTATTAACGCATTTGATTTAAGTTTTCATGAGACATGTCTTACCTTGACCCTGCGTCATTGTAAGATGATTCCAAACTGTCTGTGGCGGAGGCGTTCCAACCGGAGGTCGGCTATGACCCGGATATTGTCCTGACATTTCGAAATCCTCGAAGTTAGTTAATGTCGGTTTGCAAGTATTCGTAAAATACGTGTGCTTCGACCTGTTTGTTTGTTCCTCTGAACAAGATTCACTTTTAATACTCGCGTCTTTGACATTCAGAGATGAATGTGGAAACGAAACAGCATTATTTTTTTTCTCACATAAAGACGAAGATGTTTTGTCATTCGTACATTTATCAAAGATAGGAGTACTTTCTTGCTTCAAATATTTGTTTAGTATACAGTCTGACTTCACTACGGAGTTTTTACATAATTTATCCCTCGAAGATTTAAGTAGCGTTCTGTCAGTTTTTAAATCACGCGATGAGTTTAGATCCGAGAATTTCAATAAACCATAGTCTATCCCCTTGTACCTCGGATTGTAACAACTCTCTGTGTTACAGGAATGATTTGTTCGATCCGAAACGGCACAGTCCCGTTTCACATCCGGGTAATTGCACAGTTTCTTCTTATCTTCGCTCTCCTTGTTGCAGCGGCCTTTATTATCCTCCAGATTTTTTACTAAATTCAACGGTTTGTCTTCCTCAGGAACACAAAGGTTACAACTGTTTTTATACTGTTCCAAGATTTTTGACAGAGTCTGGTAGTGAGTGATATTTTGTATCGATGGTTCCGACAAAGACGAAAAACAGTCGGTGATTTTGTGACAATGGTCAAACTCCTTGGCGTCAGGAAAATGTTCACTTTTCTCTTTGCACAGCGAGCAGGTGGTTGCGGATTTGTTAGTATTCAATAAATTAGTTGCTTTTACTTCACTATCGCCACTGTGACAGGTACTATAACTTTCCTTGCAATTTTTAAGCACAACTTCTGGAAATTCTGATAAGCATTTACCAACTGTTCCCTTCTGTATATCAGAATTGGCTACTCCATTCCTATTTATTGGTTGTAAGAAGTTTATAAATTGATTAACATATGTTAAGTCTAAATCTGATGCGCTTATGTTTCCTTCTTTGTGACATGAACCATATACATCTGGCATACCACCATGTGCTACCAATTCTTGCATGTAGTTCCACTGCATGAAATTATTTGACAGCGCCCATTTTGGCGCAACTCCAAAAATGTATGGCCCTGCAAAATAAAAAATTTAATTACAAATTGTTATTATAATAGTAGACATCCTAATTCACAGTAAAAGGATTTAAGATAAATTATAAGTCAATTAAAATGCAAATAAATGTAAATATTAAAAATACAAAGAATAACATTGTAACATTCAAGGGATTACAAAGTGATCTCCTTGTTGTGACAACTTATGTGTGGAAGAGGTGCTAAAAATTATGTTTACCATTGCTAGTATCAATCCACGAGTTTTGGCAAGTCAGGTCATAATGCTGATTTACAGCATTTACACTCTGTTCACTATTATTAAATATATCTTGATAATATTGATGAGTAATTGGTAAACTATACAAGTGGGGAACTTTTATTCTATCTTCTTGTAGTATGCAATTAGAAGAGACTCCGTTTTCTGAAATTGTTATAAGAAAACACATAAACATATTAGTCTCTTTACACTAATATACAACTAACTGTTTATGTCTTCTCCAACAATCCAAAACCGTACTGTTTACTCGCTTAAATTATACCTGTCAGTTAAGAAATTAGCAATGTAAAGCTAAATGTTTATAATATATCATGTTATGATTCCACTAAAAATGTTCGCGAGGAATCGAAAAAGAAATATTTTTCTTACATCACCACGATAATATAATTCTGACACATAATTGGAAGTACCCCTTCTTCACACTGTTTAAATAACAATATGCAAATTAAATGTATGAAACTGAAAACGTTCTAAACTGTTGAAAGGACTTCGAGTAAGTATGTGCAACGGAGAAAAATGACAATATCTGTCAACGTCGGTGTCAATCAAATAAATTCAACAGCACCGAGCCCCGTTCATTTCGAAAAATTTGCATCGCCGATTCGACGCTGTATCTTTTAATGGAGTTGTCACAATAGCACCGGGAAAAAATTCTAACGGTTTCCACATTGCGGAGGCACGATACGGGGAACAAAATTATAAATAAGCGTTTTGTAGACGACGTTACCCACGAGGGAAGCAACGGACGTATGAGTGCAACACCGTGTACGTATCCCGATTTCCTCATCGAACGACGTGGTGCAGGATATGAAGTTCGCGTACTTTTTCGCGAATTCTGATGGCATATAGCGCGCGTACACATACGGCACACCAGGAATTACGCGTATATACGAAGAAAATACACGTTTACACAAGCCACGCATATACATCCATGGAAAATACACACTACGAATGCGCGTATGTATGCATATATCAGTGACATGCGTCGCGCGTGCACACGCCTATGCAAGCGCAACGTGCTACAAAACCATGGAAAGAAACATCTCTAACCCTGCACGAAAACTGCACGCGCGCACGTAACGAACAGGGACGAGGAACGAGAATCTCCTCTCGCACCTGGACAACAGTCCAGGCGATAACGCGCGAGCCGCGTGTGCCGACACGCGGAACAACGTGCACTTATTCGAAAAAATTCCCAGTTACCACCGCGGTGATACCTGTCTGACGCCCGAATATCTCGCACACAGGAAATACTTGAACAATCGGAAGTGTTTCACTTTCGACAAGATCTAGGATCGACGGGTTGCATGGTGTGCGCGAAGCCAGACGCGTTACATTGTACCGGCACGCATGCACGCACGTACCATGCACAATTCAGGCAGCAGCGCACACAACACCAACACCCCGACAAGACGTGCGACACGGACATGGGTGCCTCTTTCTTTCGCGTAAATCGATGGCCACACTCGATTTCACTGGCCTTTTCCCGGTGGCCCTTTAACCGCGAAACGTACCACTGATAGGTAGCTATAGCTCTGACATAGCCGCGGGACTACCACAGGATACGCACCTTCCGCACAGGGCCCTTGCCAGGGGCTGGCGAATTTACGATTTTTGGTCAAAAAATCGTCGGGGCATCAACCAAAGCAGAATTTCAACAATGGTGGCCGCTAGCGAGCGAGCCGTATACAATGCTGACACCTCGTGGTGGCGGCGCGAAACATATTTCTGTCTCCTTTCATCCATTGTTAATTATATTCTCTCACTCATGCGTACAAAATCATGCATTCTCTCCCTTAATCTTTATTCACGAGTCTCTCATACTACCATTACTTTAATCGAAATGTATAATAATCTGGCTTCAACTGATTAAATTAATTCTACGTTTTCAAAGGTCTCCTAAACATTACATATATATCTGGCACTCCGAGTTGCTCGACTATACACATATGCGATAATACACAGAAGGTTCATCGTACAGTTTTACGCAGGATGCACGCACATTTGCTTTAAAATTGTTAAAACGAATGTTGTAACAGTATCATGTCACCAATATTCCCAGCAAATAACATAATTTATGTAGTATGAAACGTATATGCATTAAAAAAATGTCAGTTAAAATGTGCATTAAAAAATGTCATGTTTAGCTAAGCTTTTTACGAAACATATATTTCCAATAATATTTTTTTTTTATATAGATTCATATTTCGCTATCACTAGGGTTTAAGCAAACATCATATTTCCAAAACTAATTAAGAATTAAAGATAACCCTTAATGTCGCTCGTGTTTGTGACTTCGTAATCTACAATTACATATTTATGAGAGTTTCTTTCATTAGAATTCTGCCCATACATTCGCGGAACGTCGGGGACGCGGGTGCGAAATGCGAATATTAGTTGCGAGTTTGACACCTAATCGTAACTAGGAAAGAAGCAAGGCACACATACGATTAAAAATCAGCGCCAGAATCAAGATTATTAATAAAAAAATTCCCTTTAATTACTCGTTCTACCGATTATAATTTATTCATTGCACGAAATTCGATATTTCGAAAAGTTATTCCTCCCTTTTTCTCTTTCGAGATTAATCATTTTCGTCTTCAATCACCTTTTCCTTTTACAAAATACGAAATGTAAACTACATAAGTACGTATAAACACGTATCATGTCAATCGTAAATACATTAAATTAAAAGCGCGCGAACAACATGACAAATAAAATAGTTATACACAATTTTTTAAAATTGCTTTCAAAAGAAAGAGTTTGTAACGAATAATGCACCTATTACTAATTATCTAAGGTACACATTACGTATTAATATGTACTTGTACTTACCATGCCCTGGCATTTCTTTTATTACTATACCAATATTCGCCGAGATATGCAGTTATCGTCAATTTCCAATATATGCTACCTAATTCTTTCGTAAACTCACTATTGCTCACTATAAACGAATATACGTATGTATATAACACTGGTTTTACGAGACAATGGAGTTGAAACGAATTTTTGGAAAATCGCGGTTATGCACGTACGTATATATAATATAGGCGTCAAATTCTACAATATGTATGTACAGCTTCTACGTCTTTCTCGAATCTTCTTCGATAAATACATGTAATGAGTAGTCAATGATCCTTCTTATCTATCTGCCGAAAATTTGAAAATCTATTTTCCACAACTATTTATTAGCCACGCACGATCATTTGTTTGCGTCTAAGTTGCATGTTATTCACATGATTGACATGTAGAACACATAAAGTTGTATACAATTCGAACGAACAGGGTTGAAGTACTACTCTCTTGTCAATTCGTTTACAAAGCCACAATCATTACAGTTCGGCATTGAACGTTTATCCCTACCGCCGTGATACGATTGTATGTTTGCATTTTTCAAATGTACACTTATTGTAAACGTAAACAAACATCATAGTATTTCAACCCGCCAAACGGCACTGGTAATCAACGTAACGTGCAGTTACGTCTGGATTAATGCGCATGCATTGAGCAGCCAGGTTACGTGAAGTATATTGCGAATGCGTCACAGATGGCTTTTGCCAGCAGTATGGCGTCGATAAACGTCGTCTGCTCGTTTTGACAGTTAAGCTGTCGCACTTACTCGAGAAATGTCATTTTTTTGAGTAGCGTTAAGTAATTTTCTTTGAGAACGCGCAGTTCAGCTTTCCGTTGTGTCATTCGTAAAGAACGTTATTTGAAGAAACACGAAATCTCGTAGAAAATGTATTGACGCGACAGCATTGTCGTCTGCTTGATTGACAGCTGCGCAAGTTCAGAAATCAGCGCTGAAGGAGCGAAGGATATACTACGGGTACATTTGGATTTGTGACAGTTTTATCCAGAACGGGAATGTATTATTGCTAAAATGATAATTATAACGAAGTTCATATTAGATTTGTAAAGATATAATTGTACATGTTATATATTTCGTTTTACTTCTCACTTAAAAATGGAGGCAGAAGTTAGAGTCAATCACCGTTTCTCAAATATTTTCAATCACGATGCGGTTTGTTATGGATTTTATCGTGAATGACGTGTCGATGCATAGTCAATGCGAAGCTGAAACACAAAGTGAATTTCGTAATAATACAGAAGAAGATTATTCGATTTGAGCCAAATTAACCTTCGATTTTCAATGAGCACGATGGTTTAATACCAAATTTGGTTTTACAGCACAATAATATGTTGACAAATTTCCGATCTATAGTTCCTCGAAGTGATTAAGGATGAAAATGCACAGAGAAAATGAATTTTACTTCTGCAAACAATAAATCAAGAAGTGGAAAACAGATTGTCATCCTAAATATTACAATTACAAATATGCATTATTTACAGTCACTTTAATTATTCTATATAAATTGTCCAACATGAAAGTGTTAAATTTATTAATATGTGAAGTGCAATTATTTATCGACATAACATTGTAAATCTATTGATTTAAATGCAGAAAACTATGCTGATAATAAAGTACTATGATAAAGCACTATAAATGTTAACAAGATAGTCATCTTGTTTTATAATTCTAGTCTATATAGTACAATAAAATACATATTATTGCTAATGCATTCTTCATACAATAACAATATACATACAAAATATTTACACTATTGATGAACATTAAGAAAGGAAGAATTATTGTTTACATCTTCACTCCTTTGAAGGACAACCACAAGGGTATAAAAGAAATGCTATAAATGCCTAAGTCTTGAATCATTTGTTAGTGATATATATATACAACAGATGAACTTATTGAAGCATTTCTGAATGATTTATATGATACTACAGAACAATACATGATTCATTGATGACATATAAAATGAACTAATTATATAATGTCTGAAGTATAAAACTGCAAATACCATGGAGCATCATGAAGAGAATGATACGTCTAATGCCAAGTCAGATATTTCTCCTAAGTCAAAGCAAAAGAAAAAATCACTTTGCCGTATACTAATGAACAAAAAGACTAAAGTTGGATGCTTAGAAACGTCGTACAAGGATGGGGATTCGAATAAAAATTCTAAATTGGAAAATTCCCAACACGGATCTCATACTAGTACAAAGCTTTCGCTGTGCTGTGCGATGACTGAACGTAGCAGGACACCTCCGCAGAGTTTAACTGTCAGTAGATTATCTCCAACCACTTTGAGTCGTACATCCGTCAAATCCGAGGTAGCGTCTGCTAATGGGAATTGTCAAACGGATGCGATGGTTGAGAAAGAAGAAATGTATTTAGCGAGTAGCACGCACAATATCCAGGAGAGTTTTGCTGAAAGAAACAGCAGTTTTACAAGAAGAGAACAACAAGGTGCATTTATTGAAGGTAAGAGCTATGTGTAATTAAAAACATCGAATTTGTTGCAATATGTTTCGTTTAACGTTTCTCACAAAATTCACATATAATAAATACACGTATTTACTTATGTGTACTGAACGTGCATGTATTTTTATAAAATCATTATTTACCTTCGTTTTTGAGACAATTCTTCCGTTCATTATCTATTTAATATTCATTGAAGTACACGTGATATTAGCTGCTACATGTTTATTACATTGTAATCTTTTTTGGATGATTCTGTAATCTGACAATGAGTAGATCTCACTGAATGAGGTAATGTCCTTGTGCTCCCCACTATTTGTTTTTCTGCACTAATACCGTTAAGGAATTCCTACTATAATGTGTGGTAAGAATACGTAGATCTCACTGACAGACTCTGACAGACTCCAGTCAGTCCAGTCCGTCCAGTTTACATTCATTAGTCACTGACATAAGACGATTTAAATTTCAAATATTGTCTTGGTCAAAAATAGTGTTAAATACTTTCTTAAATATGTCTAGTACAAATAATAAAACAAAGAAAACATCTGTTTTCGGTAAAGTGTTCAAAATCTTTAAAAAAAATAGAAGTGATAAACTGGAGGAAGGAACAAAGTCAAATTCAAATTCAAATTTTGAACAAGATTCAGAAAAAAGACTCGGAGATTTAGATATCAAACTTAACAGTGATAAGTGTGATAAAGAAATTACACCTCAGCCACAGGCTGATGCTAAAAATAAAATAAGGTTTGATAGTGCAATAAAAAGTATTATTGAAAACGAAAAGAATTTCGAGGATAATAAAGTTATGACGGACGAAAGTGTGTTAAATAGTATTAAGCAAACTGATAATTTACATAGTGTTAATATGTGTAAAAACATGTCGAGTATACAAAGAGATAAAAAGGCATGCAGTACATCAAATATTAATTTAGGAAGTAATGAAGAAGAGTTTAAGGATGGTTCAGATAAAAATTTAGAAAAGAAAATCGCGTTTATGAAACAGGATTTTTCTGTAAGAAAAGTACCTCCTTTGAAGAAGACTGTCTCTTTAAAACATTCAGATTCTTTTCCAAAAATTTCAACTTTGCCGACAATACCAAATATAATGGTGCAGCATTTTGATAATAAAAATTGTTTACAAGCGACAAATAAATTTTTGTTAAAAGAAACGAATGTAATGTTACAAGAGAGTAGTGAAGATAGTGATTTCTCTGCAGAGTCGACAGAAGATTCATTTGAAGAATCATCAGATGAAAATGAACTTCTAATTGAGTCTGAAAGAAATGAGATATGCTTAAAGGATGAGTATTTTACAAAAGGGAAATATATCACTTATTTCTTCTTGGAAATGGAACGGCAGTTCTACAATCCTTTTGAAGTTTACAGTATGGTTCAATACCATGATACTAACAATACTGAAAAACCAGGAAAAGAAGGTATAATATAATAAATGAGATATACCTGCTGCTTAAAATTTGATTCTCATGCTTATTAAAATGTTTTTCGTTTTTATTATTACCTAAATGTTGTATTCTATTTATTCTATTTGATCATTTGTAAAGTATTACTAATATAAGTATTTGTAGAAACTTTAAGCCAAAATTTGAAGTAATGTATATAAAGTATAAAGTAATGTAATAATAATTAGGTATACTTATTCTCAGAAAAGTTTCATTTATGCATTACTATTGCATCTTTTAAAAGTATACCATAATTAAATTTTAAAATTGTTCGAATGGTAATTGCATTCATATACAATGTCTATAACTGAGGAAAATCATGCTAAATACGTAGTTACACTACCTACTTTGAATAAATTACGGACAGTTAGATTACTTTCTGGATAACTGACTCACTATTAATAAATACAGTACCTGGCAATTGAACCAATTTGGTTTCATTACAGACACACTTTGTGATATCCTTTATTGCTTTACCTTACAATGTCAACTTCATTTCAAAATGTTATTTTCAAGTACATATATGTATATGTTATAACATGTTTCACATTGTTGCGAAAAATTATATATATACAATTTTCTATAATAATTTTATATAATACTTTAATGTTTTAGGTGAAAACTCATCATCTGGATCTATATCTCCAAATGTTCCTGCATATTTAAGGCATAGACTTGTTCATAGGCGATCTGTAGACAATTTAGTGACAAATTCGCCAACAAATTCTATGCGACATTCGAGTCCGGAATCTATTAAAAGTGCACCTGTTCAACTTAAACCACGTTCTACATCTCACGATGCTTTATCTAAAAAGAAAGATCGTCATCAATCCCAAACATCCGGAGCATCGATGGATAGTTTGGCAAAGCAAGCACTATTAGCTGCTCAAGTTCTAAATCTAATTCCTACACAGAAAGCACGAGAAAGGTACTTAAATAAGGATTAATTTAGCCCTTTTTTTATACAGCTCAACTTTCACGCGTGTTATTTCTTTGATACAGAAATTTCCTTCATGGAAGGATCGCCGCAAATTCACTGCTCGGACCAGTGGAACTCGAAAAAGTATTACCGAATCGTGAAATAAAAATTTTCATCGGAACGTGGAATATGAATGGACAGAATCCACCAAAAGAATTGAACGATTTTATGTTACCGTCGGATATAGAAACTGTTCCAGATTTGTTAGTTATTGGAACACAAGAGTCGTGTTCCGAACGAGGTGAATGGGAAGCAGCTTTACAAGAAACTCTTGGTCCATCCCATGTGCTACTCTCTAGTACAGGTCTAGGAACGCTACATCTTGCACTCTTTCTGAGGAGAGATTTAATTTGGTTCTGTTCCATTGCTGAGGACGCTAGTTTTTCAACTAGAACGGGGACTGCCTTTAGAACAAAAGGGGCCGTCGCTATAGCTTTAATGTTATTTGGCACAAGTTTTCTATTCGTTACCGCACATTTAACCGCACATCAAGATAAAGTTAAAGAAAGAGTGAACGATATTAAAAGAATAATTAGGAACCTTGATCTACCGAAAGATCTGCCAACAAGACATAAAAGCAAAGGTATAGAATAAACATATTCTCACAATTAAATTAGTATTACAGAAAAGTCGATAAATGAATATATGTTTAATGTTTTCAGACGTAACACAAAATTTTGACTGCGTGTTTTGGTGTGGCGATTTAAATTTTCGGTTAGCGCAGCCAAGGGAAGAAGTTATACAGTGGGTTACGGATACATCCTTTCCGCAGCAATCGCCGGTAAATTTGCACAAAGATCAATTGCAAACGATCCTCAACGAGGGAGCTGTTTTACGTGGTTTCGAGGAGGCACCGATCACATTTCCTCCTACGTACAAATATGATCCAGGAACACAAAATTTCGACTCTAGCAGCAAACAACGCACACCCGCGTATACCGATAGAATTCTCTTTAAAGGGAAAGGACATACAAGAGGATACATTAGAAGAGTTAGTTACGAAAGCTCTGGTTCGCATAAAGATGGAGTTATAGAATGTTTGGTCTACGATTCTGTGCCAAGTATTTGTACCTCAGATCACAAACCTGTATGGGGTGTTTTTAAAACAACCATAAGGCCTGGAATTGACACGTGTGTATAATAATATACATAGATACGTCATGTTCTTTATAACACGAGAAAATGAATGTTCCTTGATTATTTGTTATAGTATTCCGCTGGGTGCTGGACTGTTTAATCGTGAAATATATTTAGAAGGCATAAAGAGACGTGCAGCTGCCATGGACGATTCTCATGGAACTTCTAAAGTATGTTCCATTCAATAAATAAATCTAAGTATAATGTGAAGTTCATTCAGACAGGAATTTCCTATTGACAAATTTATATAAAGATGAGCATTGTATTCGTTATAATTTTTTAATGGCAGCATATGAGAGCAGCTGTATGCGATTCTTGCGATTAATATCTCTTCTTTTTTTGTATGCTCTAGATATACATATATGACAAATTTATAACTGTTCATAACATTTTTATATATGAATAAGAAATACCGTTTTCTAGTACAGTTTATAGAGTATATTATTGTACAATATGCACTTTGTAATATCTAGTCAAAATAATGTAGGTAGGTTCACTATTCTTATTTATAA